TAATGAATACGTAGTTACCTAATGAATTAGATGGATAATTAAATCAATGTAGGTAGTTATTAGAATCACAATGGCTTTTATATGACGTCTATGTAAAAGCGGGTTTTTATTTCGATAAGATGCGATCGGTACCCATCACGTATGTAATTTTTTGCTAATTAAATCAATGATATGTGTAGATAAATGAAGTTATCCATCAAGGTCCAAAATAAAATTTCTGATTGCTGTATTTATAATTGCAGTGTTTATTATGCAGACTTTGAACAACACACAAATAATTGCTTAATTCTTAATTCTTTTATCTCTGTTGTTCTCTACATAAATAGAAGTCAATGTCTTTGATAAATATAAAATCAATACATTTATTTAAATGAAAGAGGTCATGAATATCTACAATTAATAAGTATTTTTGTTTTAACTGCGTCGTTGGTTGAGTAGTCACCAGCTTGACTACTAAATAGCTAAGATTTTTTTGGGTTCTAGACGAATTTAGCCCACTCTCAACCAGTTTAACATGATATTTTTATTATGTTAAAATGTGAGAATGATATGCAGCATCACGAAGGATAATACGATGGTAAACATGTTAGTTAGGTCATGAAGAGGGAATATCTCACAGTATGCACATGATCACGTCATCCGACACGTGCCAGCTATTTTGTTAGCGGGGCTTGGCCGCAACTCGCGCCACTGACCGCGTCGCCTTCTGAATTACAATAAGCCCCGTATCGACTAACTTTCCTCAGAAATCTACTTACAAGTAAAAGATAGGTCATTTAAAATAAGCTTACAATTGAGCTTAGACTTTAATAACCGTATTATAAAGGATCTTAGGAAAATATTCGCGTGCCTACGTATTTTATGTAGATGCTAGCAGCCCGCCCAGGCTACCCACGGGTGCCATTCCTCGATTTTCCTGTTGAATTTGTTACCTACCTTTTTGAATGAACGAATGTAACAAAAAAGAAATCGTCTAATATGCTGCATCTTTCAGATGAATGCGTATTAAACGATTAGAGCAAATCAATTTTATTAATTGTATCTGTTCATTATGTTATAATCGTAGCTACAAAACTCTTTCTTTAATTGTGGAGTTTATCATGTAGGTATCGTAAAAAATATCGTGTCGATCAGCATCTTATTAACGTAGATCGAATTGTTATTACGAACTTGACTGTTGTCCTCAATGATAAAATAATACAAGAAAACAACCAGATTAATACATTTTCGAAGATAACAAAGATAAATAAACTAATTAGATGTGATTTTCTCTTCGTACCGTATTAAACTTTAATTACACGTAGAATAATAAGATAAGAGTCGAATGTTGTTAATAATATTGCGTTTATAGAAGCCATAGGTGGTCTTCCTCCGATCAGTCATCATAGTGTAAACTTATTTAACAGATTCTATAACGAAAATGAATTAATTAAGACACTAAAAGAAGCCATTGAAGACTACGTTTGAGATGGAAATGTTTGTATAATTATATTTACCACGGAATAAGTAGACGTTGTGAAAATTGCTACGAAGAGGCGTTAATGTAATTTGCCTTCGTAAAAACGTACTTGTTCGTTAAGCCAAGCTCTGCCCATTCAATCTGGGTGCAGAGCCAGCGTGGGCTTCCCTTAGCAAACGCCTTACAATCCCATTGAATAAGCTTTATGAAATTCTGTGGCTTTTGTCATACTACTTTACTGTGAGGATTTATGTTCTAGTTTATGACGTCGAACAAAGAAAACTTTATAAATATAACTTGCTCTAACATACATACTCGAGATATTATTTGCAGTAAAAATCGGAAAGAAATTTACTATTATAGTGTGTGTTAAGGCCGTATTGTGATAGCAGATAGTCAAGTATAAAAAGAGAATAAGTCATATATTTATAGTTTCCATTTGATTCAAGACTACTTTAAAATGTAGTGGGATTATAAGCTAAACAACATGCCTAATATCTACTTACCTATGTATGTTTTAATACTACTTTTATTAACATACACATATTGAACGCCACTTTTCATAACTGGTGTAGGTAGCAGAGCAAATATTAAACATATCACCCTCTCTTGACTTAAGCTTTCTTTGCTGGATAATAAAATGAATTTGTTTATACTTGTATTTGTGAACACATGGGTTTATCTTCAGTATTCAAAATATTCATTGATTAAATCAAATAATTCTATACGCATTTGAAATGTATATACCCTTTATCTATAGCTTTTTTTTAAAGGGGGAAAATCATCGAATGACTGCTCCCGCCTGGGTGAGGCGGGAGTAAAAATCAGACTCTTTACTGACTAAAAACCACCCCGTTCCTTCTCCTGCACGTCGAGTCGGAGCCCCGGTTACCCGTTAGGTTCTCTGCGACTTTATCTATAGCTTAGGAGGTAACAAATATATTTGTACTAATAGTACCTCTATTTTAAGAGTAAATAAGTAGCTTATAATGTTTTGTTGAAGCGTATTTTTAACATCTGTTAAATTATCGATCAGTTACAATATCAGTGATGTTAAGTGTAGTTTTGTCGTGGTAGCCCGGAGGTTAAAACGCCCGCTTCTCATGCATGAGGGTGCGGGTTCGAAACCTACCAACGGCAAGTACCAATGTGACTTTTCCGAGATATATGTACGCACTTAAGATTATTAAGGAGGAAGAAGGAAAACGTCGTGAGGAAACCTGGACTAATAATTTCTAATTATAAGTTTTTAATCACCAACCCGCATTGAGCAAGCGTGGTGATTAATGCTCAAACCTTCTCCGTGTGAGAAGAGGCTTTGCTCAGCAGTGGGCATTTATAGGCTGTTGTATGTAGCCTTCACTTCGAGAGCCGACCCATATGTAAACCGTTGGCACTTGGGACACATATGGCACTCCAATACTTACATTATATTGGGATTACACATTACTTACCTTTACTTTCAGTATTCTTTCAGGACCTTTTCTTGAAAAACGACCTACATAAACAACTTCAGCATTGCCTGGTGTTAAATGTAAATGCGGTACCTACTTACGTACTTAGTTACGTAACATAACATAACATCACGCCTTTTATTCCCGAAGGGATAAGCAGAGGCGCCAATTACGGCACTTAATGCCACTGTACCACGTAACCACTTATTACTATTTTATGTTTTGAGTCCCATGTAATAGGGGGTAAGCCTATTGCCCTATACCGGGCATAATTCCGGGCTCCGTGCTACCACTGAGATTTTTTTTAAAACCCAGTAATACTTTGCCCCACCCGGAATCGAACCCGAGATCCCTTGCCCGGCAGTCGCACTTGCGACTACGAGGCAGTCCAACATACTGAGTTACGTAACTGAAAAGATATTGAAAATAGCTCGTTCACAATGTGAACTTACTTACATAGGTACATATTACTACGCATGTCCGGTTACCGATCACCTTTATGTAACTGAAAATATATGTATAATCAAGTGCCGGATAAAGTTGCGTTGCGAAAACGCATGCTTTTAAAGTACAATGGAATAGTCGACTATGCAAGCGTGCATGCTAGACTAGACTATTCCATAACATCACACGTAACTTTTAAAAATAGGTGTATGTAGATACATTTTTCGTATGCACTGTGTTTAGCGCATCTGTCTGAATATGGATCAACATGTTTTCGAAATCAGACAATACTTTTCTATTACTTAGGTACTTAGAATAGGTATTTATAACATTATCAAAATTCACCATATTCGTCAAAGTACCTAAGACGCAAATTATTCCCATTATCACTATAATAGGTACTAGATGACGTAGTTTTCCAGATTAAAGTATAAACTATCGTAATCGCTGATAAACGTTTTCCTTTCGCGTTTACTTTTAGAATAGTGGAAAGGCCGGTGTTTGTCGTTTTTCGAAAGCCATTTTAATTTAAATGAAGTGAACTATCAATCACTGGGCTGGATCAATCTATCACCTGTGGGTGCTAACGAGTGAGTCGCGTGACCTCCTCCCACTATATCTGTCTATTGACACTACATATACGATTATAACATTATTCACAATTGTCTTGTCGTCCATTGTTTTAAAATGTAAAATCAACAACTAAAGATAGATAAGTGCCAAAAAATAAGCAATTTAAAGTAATTTTTAAATGTTTTGTTGATAGTGTTCAGTTTATTTTGACTAATTGAAGTAGTTCTGTTCTATGGAAAATTATTACTTGGTTGTTTATTTTTTAATTTTTACTAGCTTCTGCCACCCGCGTTCCCGTGGAATAGTAAGTAGCCTATGTGTTATTCTAGACCATAATCTAGCCTTGCAAATTTCATCTCGAACTCTTTAACCGTTTTGACGTGAAGGAGTAACAAACAAAGAAACAAATATACAAACTTTCGCATTTATAATATACTAGCGACCCGCCCCGGCTTCGCACGGGTGCAATATGCATGTATTATACATACAAACCTTCCTTAAGAATCACTCTATCTATTAAAAAAAACCGCATCAAAATCCGTTGCGTAGTTTTAAAGACCTAAGCACACATACGGACATACAGCGAAAGCGACTTTGTTTTATACTATGTATTGAAGTAGAATACTTGAAAATATTTAGTTTTGCATTCATTTAGTATGTCTGCAATGTATTAGGAGCGTGCTTCTATCTAAGTCTGCGGGGAAAAACAAGTATAGTGCTATGTATGTTGTATTCGACACTAATCAACAGCTAATTAATTATACTGCAGGTAATTTAGCATGTAGATAATATCTAATCACGCGTGATTAATTTTATTTGATCAAATGATGAATCATGTAATCAGATAGATGTTCTTTTACACAATGAACATTATGATTGCCATAATAATTAGCTCATTAAAGTAAACAGTAGCACGAAATCTGTCGCCATTTTCGGTGCAACAATCATTGTAATCAATAAAATGAGTGAATCATAATGAGTTACGAAATACTTATGAGATACGTATATAATTCACTATTAATAATCATTTATAAACAGAACTATTCATTACTCATTTATTGTATCTATATTCAATAAATTGAAATATCAATATTCACGAAACAATCAAATTTCGAAATATCTCATCATTAAAACCGAATCCCGCTGTTTCCAAGTAGAGAAGAAAGGACTGTTAATATCGAAATTACTAAAACCAAGATTCATTTATTTCCATTTGTGTCATTCCACATTTTCCGGCGGGAGCGTGGCCCCGTCCCCTCCGTACTCATTGCTGGACTCTCCAAGAATATAAATTACATTTCATTTTACCACTTACAGTATGCGCGTAAGTAATGCCCCTTTCAAATCATTTCAACCTTGCGCATATTTTATTATTCAATTCCATATTTTTGTTAGAATACAAAAATTACATCACCAGTTATTAGGCTCGGAACATTAAAATTTATGAATTAGTAAATTGGTGAAAGCTACCGGCTATAAGAAAGTCTATTTGAAATTCTAAACGTGCCTTACTAAGCCCCAATATTCTGCCTTACTGAGTCAGAAATCAAAACGTTCACAATCACATTATCGTGTCTCGACTTCGTGCCAGCGATTAAATGTCTGTTTTAGTTACGCTTAGTTGGGATCCATTTGCCTTTTTAATAAACACTTATTTATTGAAACTTTAAAAATAATATTATGTGCTAAGGTTATGTCATCGAATCATTATTATATAAAGATTTAGCAAGGAGATAATATGTTTACTGAGCGCTCGTCACTGTAAATAATGTTATTACTTTTATCAAAGGCTACTGCGTATCCGTTATTCACGGGCAATACCAAAGATAATTGCTTATTTATTTTATTAATTGAATATATTCCATTATGCGCTATAAAGTACGGTGTCCCGAACGCATCCGTTGTAGCTCCACGGATACTTATATCGTTGCCGTGAACTATAACTGGCGATTTACTGCCCTTCACCAACACAAACAGTCCAGTGGGATTAATGAAATACAAATCACTTTTACCATCGATTACAAAGTGTTGAATGAGATTTTCCTTTACCTCCGGGACCAAAAGCTTCGTAGTATCTTTGTACTCATACAGATTTTGTTTCGCTGTGTCTACAAAAAACAGGTTGTTGTGGAAATACATGTCGAATATATCTGTTCGGTTTACAAGCGCGGGTTTATCGATGTCGCTGGTAGAGTAATTGTATTTGAATATGCCATCACTTCCTCCGAGGTAAACTTCACCAGAAGTTTGATTCACGGCACTGGCATACCCATTACGAATTCCAGGCACAATGGAAGCTAACCCAGTGTCAAGATTCAACGCCACAGATTGAAAGCTCTGGTCTGAAAACTCGTCCGCATTTATACAGAAAAACAGAGTATTCTTCTTTCGGTCTATTGAGAACTTATATGGAATGTTCGCGTCTGCTAGTATTACATTCCTTTTGTGTGGCACACCAGATATCACGACATAGTCTTTTGTATCAGTAATCATTGTTGTATAATCATTGTGAAACAAACACGACAAATAATTTAATATGTAACAAAAATACTACACGAACGAACGTTGATTGTTTTTTAATAAATGACATGATCAATCGGTGACACTGATATGGCAGTAGACTACCGGACTTAAGCAAAGAGTCTACAATTACATAATTATGTAGCTTTTGATGTAAAGGTCACAAAATAACTACACTCTGTCGAACTGTCCTCTATGGTACATACAAGTTGATACTACTGAATTTGCTTATAATGGCGTTTTACTTTCATTTTCTGAACATAGTCGGGTGTCCTACATAAAATATTTACAATTCTGACCTTTCTTACGGAAAAAAGTGAAAGTGTTATTTTTCCGTTCTTTGAAGATTAAAAGACATATGTTTTCAATTCCTATTATATTCAATTTCATTCGCTTTCTATTAAACCCTTGTACGAGACGCGCGAGAGGTTATAATTATACAAGATATCCTACGAGATAAAATGTATCTATATACCGTAAATGTGATATAATGTTTATTTTCATTATCGAATCAGATGATTACTACAATTAATTAATCTAAAAGATATTAGCGCGTGTAGAATTTGAACCAGCGACCTCGAATGTCCGATACAAAGCTTATATTCCGCCAATAACACCGATACATTCACTCGCGGTTGGCAGAAGATACCTACTTATCAAATTTCCATGCAAACTATCTTAATTACTGTGATATGAAATCAACAATACATCGAAAGCGTAGTCATAGACCAAGGTCTGTCCTTCCAGATGAAAGACACTTAGCAACACGTGGTTGACTACGATACTTATTGTTGGATAGTGTAGTGATACAACCATGGCATGTTCAAAATAAATGGTCCAACAGAGAAGTAAAGTTATCGACATAGAAAGGATTAGCTTACTAATCTTTTGGGCTATGTCGATTACTATAAGTGGCAGTGGGCCGGTCACATTTATCAAAGAACCAATAACCGTTGGGATAAAAGTGTTCTAGAGTGGAGACCGCGTCTAGGCAACGCAGTGTAAGGCGCCCTTCAGCTAGGTGAAGCGACGACATCTGCAAGGTAACTGGCAGTAGTTGAATGAGAAGGGCTGAAGACCGAGCTCAGTGGCGTGCCATTGGAGAGGCCTATGTCCAGCAGTGGACATATACGGGCTGATAATGATGAAACAAAATTATTCATATTTACTTTGTACTTTTATTCTTTTGTCCATAAATCCGATAACCATTATCCTAAACACTAGCGTCAATAGCTTTAATAAGATTAATAATCCTATCGTATACTAATTCTTTGGCGTTAATTCCGTAGTTGAAGTCGACATGGCTGAAGGAGGCCATGGGTACTCTAATCTTAGTAGGTCTAGCAAGTTCCCGGAACAGTCTGTCAACATCGTTGACGTGTGCTAAAGGATCACTGTCGGAGTAATGAAGGAACACTGGAGCAGTCACTTTAGATAAGTCGTAAGGCGGAGGACTGAAGGATCCATAAGCTCTGTAGTTTGCAATTCGGGATCCTTGGTCGTAGCGACGGAAATGACCGGCAGCTATTCCTTGGCCGTAGTGAGCCAGCTGTCTCACAGATATACCAGCTGGTGCGTGTCCCATGATGACCGGCAACATCGTCTATAACAAAAATAATATTAACTGTACTATCTAAAACAGTCGAGTATTATTGATAATATAAGCTATTTTCATTATTATCACCCCTATACTCTACTGTCTTTATTGAAACTTGTTGTTGCTATAAGATAAGAAGTCAAGATTTAATTGCTAGATTTGCTGTATAGTTACCAGATATTGAATTTTGTTCTAAGTCTAATAGTAATAAAAACATACCGCATTATGCTGGTCCACGTTCCATCCTCCCATTATCATGATTACAGCACTACATATAGGTTGAGTTAAAGCATCGTCGTTACAGTATTTGGAACCAAGTTGTTGAGTAAACTCATTGCTAGGCAGGAACTCGCCAATACCGATTAACGATGCAAGGCTCTGAAAATTTTAAAAATGTATAAAAACATTGAAAATCCCACTAAATTAAAATAAAATGTACCGACATAGATAAGTGGGTAGACTTACTTCAATTCTGTTTGCATGTGGTGATATGAAGTTAAGAATGGGGCTCTGGTTGTGAGCCATATAAGCTACCGGTGCCATTGCGTGCATTGAGATAATTTTAGAATTGTATTCTGGTCGCATGGCACCGAAAACAAAGTAGGACGTCGTGCCCTGCGAGTGGCCGATGTAGTGAAGCCCCTTTTCTCCAGACACAGCCAATGCATAGTCAATCATGGCTGGTAGGTCCTTACTACCGATTTCTTCCCAAGAGAATTTCCAGAATGCTGTGCTCAGTAAAGCGTCAGGGTTGAGTCTGACATGCTTACGAGAGTAGTAGTTGCCACGAGCGTTGCCCATCCACACGTCGTATCCTTCCTCAGCAAGGACATAAGCTACAAGTACATAATGAGAAATAACTCGTCATACACCAAGTATGTCATATATTGTTCGTTTGATAACGTCGCCGTGAAGTAGGCTATGCGTGGGTTTGACTTAACTGGATTATGAAAAACAAAAGTAACTTTCAAAGGTAACGCCATAACATCTCGTACCTACACAAACTCATTCCCTTGGGGTATTTAGGCACTTAGAAGCGACAAATGTCACGTGTATCTACGTCCGTGAGTTTTGTCTATGTTTACTATAGAAGTAAATTAGGTTATAATTACTATTTAAGCCACACCTAACCTTCAACTTGAACTTTTAGCCTCGTACTCGAACGTTCTCCAACAGCGAACTTTAAAGATATCTGAGCGTAATACAACCAAGAGCACGTTAAGTATTTCAAAATGAATGGACCTGTTCCTCATAAAAGAAATTATACCATAGTATATTCATACCCAAAGCTCGGCCTGGACCGAAAATAACATAGTCAGCAGATGAAACAAGCATTCCGTGCATAAGAAACACCACAGGTTTCTTTTGATTCGGTACATTGTTAGCGTCACGGCCGTGAGGGATGCGGTGCATCTCCAATATGTAGCCATCTTCTGTCGTCACTGAGTGCACTTCGACTGGGTAACGATATTTTCTGATGAGATCTGGCTGCAATAATACAAATACTTATGTTTTATGCATAGTGACACACGCCGAAGATACATTTTTTGAGCAGAGATCTCAGTCGATGAAAATACTTAATTTTGGTAGAAAAAAATTATTAGAATTTTACAACTCACCACATCAAGAAGTGCGTCTTCGAGTACATTATCCGAATAACGCGCGTTTACGTCTTTTACCCATTTTTCAACAGTGTCAGCGTTGGGTGATCTCCTGGCTGCTGCCAGAGAGACACATGTGGCTACTACTAACAATCCTACACGTAACATGGCGCAAACACTCCGGGTCACTCATTGTGAGTAATACCCAAATCCGTGTTTTATAACTTTTGTTTCCCGATAAATAAAAATTAAGCTCTGATATGATTGCAATCAGTAACCATCAAAATCTAGATAACGGTACAATAATATACCCAAATATTATCATCAAAATAGAGAACGTACTGTAATTCGGTGAGTAAGCGCCTACTTACCTAATACTGGGCAGCAAGTGTCTGTATATGAATGTTTAATCGCTATAGTACCTTTTATCGAGCTCCTACGTGTCATGCACAATTGTTCATTAAAGCCCTGTTTTACTACTTCTTGTTAACTTTGACGTATTTAGTTATACCATGCAATTGAAAAAGTCGATTTTATAAAATTTTCGAGTTTCAACTTATTGTCCACTTTATAATATTTTCGATACACTATGTTCAATTTTCCAAATTTTATGATTGACTTCTCATTTTTTTTCGATATGAATGATTCTTAAATCAAGCCATAATTTCCAAAAATCATATTGACTCATTAATCATAATTATTATCCCTATCAAACCCAACTTAAACATCACAAATACGACGACAAAAGATCTTTTCACAAACTCAAATAATTTAACACAACATATGAATTAAATTCCAGGTCAACACAGAACATGAAATAATTTCATGAAACCGATGTTAAGTATTAACAAAACAGTTTTAAAGCAATTAGCAATGCCATTTTGCGACAATATCATGAAACTAAATTGCCATAATAGAAAATTGAATTTAAAACACTATTTACTGTCTCATTTCGGTTAGCTGACTGTGTTGAATTAACAACCTATGCACGGTACCTAACATGACGTGAAGCTTTTCTTCTCAGTGTAGGTAGATAAACATAACGTAAATTGAGTTAACAAAACTGATCTGATTTGGATAAAGAATTTAAATGATTACAATCTATATATATAATAAAACCGTAAAAAGATCAAAACTTATTCAATATTTTTTTAACTCTAGTTAAGTAACCAGTTGGTTACGAATTGGTTGGTTACGTAACCAGTTGGTTACGAATTGGTTGGTTTCGTAACCAGTTGGTTACGAATATATTTTATTCAATTATACAGAAATGCTAAAAAACCAATGCAAAGTAATTTGAAGCATACTTCAAAAATTGAATTTCTAAGAAAAGGTGGTTTTTTTTTTTTTTTTAAGGGGGGAAAATCATCGAATGACTGCCCCCGCCTGGGTGAGGCGGGAGGGAGTGTCAGACTCTTACTGACTAAAAACCACCCCGTTCCTTCTCCTGCACGTCGAGCCGGAGCCCCGGTTACCCGTTAGGTTCTCCGCGACTCCGAATCGGCATCGGCCCTATTGGGCCCCATCTGTGGTGGTCTGATGGCTCTTTGAGGCGCGCGCGGAACGCGACGCGCCGTACGCTCGGGTCTGTTTCTGGTCGGACGGGGAGCCACCCATGCTCGCCGTCCGCAGGCCCGCGCTTACGGTGGCCGGAGATCGTCCCGCGATCCCCGACGCCCGGTGTGTCCTTCGCGATGGCTGGGTTGCGAGGAGGCAGCGCTTCGCTGCCTCACGCGTCCCGCCTCCTCCTTAGCTAGCATGACTGCTTCGCAAAAGGAGGAGACGGCATCCCAATCCCCCTCGCTCCGCATCATGGCCTGCACTAGGCCCGGACGCGAGAGGTCGCCATCGCCGATCACTTCCCTGAGGACACGGCGGTGCTCAGCCCACGAAGGGCATTCTCCCACCGTGTGTTCCACCGTGTCCTCAGGGCGGTCCTCGCAGTGATGACACCCGGGCGTTTCCTCCCGCCCCATCAGACACAGGTACCTCCCGAAACTTCCATGTCCGGTGAGGACCTGCGTCAGGCGGTAGGTGAGGACGCCGTAGCGTCTCTCAAGCCACTCCTCAAAGAGGGGACTTACCGCTGCGATGGCAGCGAGCCCAGCCCTCGGTTGCGACAGTCGTTGCTGCCATTCCGCCATGAGATCGCGCCGGAGCTCATCCCGCCACGCACTTATCTGGCGCGGCAGCGGAGTTTCGCCCCGGCGACGTGCCTCCGCGCGCATGCTGTGCACGCGCGCGAGCACCTTCGCCTCCAGATCCCACGGCGGTAATCCGGCAAGGAGGTTCGCCGACTCCCCAGAGATCGTGCGGTATCCGCGGATCATTCGGATCGCCATGACCCTCTGTGCCATGAGCAGCGTCCGAGCGGGACGCCGCAACAGGTTAGGCGCCCAAACAGGGGCGCCGTAGAGGGCCATGGACCGCACGACCCCGGCGTATAACCTCCGGCAGGAGGCGTTTGGCCCCCCGAGGTTGGGGAGGATGCGTTTAAACGCAGCCCCCGCCCTCGCCAACTTTGGAGCCAAACGTCGGAAGTGCTCCACGAAGTTCCACCGACTGTCGAGGACGAGTCCCAGGTACTACAGTTACCACCAACACTGAAAGAGTTAAAAGAATACTCGTGGCATAATCTACAATCGATACCGAAACCAAAAATATAGTTTTTTGATTTTTGTCTGTTTGTCTGTATGTATGACCGGACTAAACTCAAAAAGTACTGCATAGATTTACTTCAAATTTTTCATGAATCAACAGGCCAGGTCAACCTATATAGGCTACATATTATCAAGCCTATGGGGGAAGAGCTGTGAAGAACTACCCAAAG